GAAATAAAGCAACTCTGCGTTCAAGAAACTCCATTCAAAACTGATCTAACAGTCATACACCAAAATATTTAAGGGGCCACATTAGATCAGCTTTGCTGGATTTCTGTGTTTGCTTTTTACGCCAATACTTTTATAAATGACTTTAAAAGACTCGTAACCAAGGTGTTTGTGGGATGTAAATGAACACTCGCTTTCTTACAGGCCCTTTTCTTTCTGGGAACAGAGAACAGCTATGTAATGTATGCTTGCTGGTTTTAATTTTCATGACTTCCAAAGCAGTTGTTTATCTTCATCTTGTGCAAGCTGTAGGTCTAAAGCCTTTGCTTAATTAAGACTGGAACAGTAAATAAACAAAACTATTCCTTCTTCCATGTAGGGCAATGATAGATATGTGAGAAATAGATAACAATATTTATATTTTTAAAAACTTTGGGGTTTTTTCCTTTCATCTTCTTATAACCTAGCATCAGCTAAGGCAAAAGAACAGCTCAGAGAAGCAGGAACCACCCAGAACACTGTTTGTAAACTTGGTGGGTGGCTGACAGTTTTTAAATCAGTGTAAAGGTATCCCAGTCCTTAGCTGTTAAATAGTAATTGGTAAATAGTAATTGTAAACAGCAATTTCACTATTAAAGAAGAAAGTATTTGTCCTACAGTGAGACTTAATAACAATGAAATTTGGGCAGCACCGAGGTTTCAGAGCGTGTGCTAGATTCCAGCATTCCTGTGCTTTCCTTCCTGGAGATACTTAGTGTGGCTGGGGATATAAGTGCTTACTTGATTTAAAATATTTTCAAGTCTATGCGCTTCTGTCAGTGGAGGTCACTCGGTCAGGAAGTACGGCATGTGTGTCTGCTAGAGTCCATTTTGTTGAGAGGGAAAATCAATGATTAAAGCCTCATTTAGTTTTTAATTTGAAATATATGATCTTTCTGAGGGAACAAGGCTTTGAGAGCTAGTGCATCCTTTTTTAAGGGTACTATAGCCTGGTGTGGTTTTGGAGTATAATGCAAATCTGTGATTTGTCAAAGTACACCATGTCTCTTCCTATTTCAATGCATCACTTTCTGGCTATGTTCCCACATCAGAAACTGAAAGAGAAGACTGGGCAAGCTGAAGTTGCATCCTTTGTGCCAGGTGGGTCCCTCCTTGATGAAGTCAGGACTCCAGCTTGCAGAAATCTCCCCTTCCAAAGGGAAGAGCCTACCTTGTGCCTGGGTACAGGAATAAAAGCAACACATACAACAAAGCTTGTTGCATGACTTGATGCTGGTGGAAACACCAGTATTTCCTCTGGGTGATCCCTTGTTTCCCTCTTAACATTTTATTCCAGCATAATGAAAGCATCAAACCCCAGCTAATTTAGACATAGTGATATTTGAATGAAGTGCTTGTATTTTTAAATATGTAGCTGTTCCTGTGTGAGAAGCAGAGTAAACTTATACTACTGTCTGGTTGTTTTTTGTTTTTTTTTTTTTCTCATATAGGTAGGAAGCTGTTAACCCTGGTCTACCAGTATAATTATTTAGGTAAAAATATATATGTATGCTTGTAAATAGCGTTATACATCTTTGAAGTGCAGGCCTGACCTAATACTGTAAGTACTTTTATGGCTTGTCTGCAATGGAATGAAACTCAAAACATTTGTGGTTTGGAACAAATGTTTGGTGAATATTAAGACTACTATGTGTAAATAGAGTGGGGTAACTCGGTTGGATTTGCTGGGTACCTTGAATTAAAAACTCTTGTCTGACCCTTAGCAAGTACAGTCAAGGATCTTGGAGCAGCTTGTTTATTTGAGCTAACAAGTTTGTACAAACAACATGGTTTACAGCAGACTGAGTACTAATATGAACTACAAATGTTTATAGCATGCCTAGACTAATGTTTATTGCTGTTGCATAACTCAAGCTAATTGGAAATTGCATAACGAGGTAAAACAGCAAAACAACTAGGCTGATCATTTCCTAGGCAACTTTTGTTGAAGGCATATGGAAAATCCTCGTAACATAATGTCTGAATATAAAGACAAATTAGGGGATAGCTACTTTACTCCACAAGTATATATATACACAGAGGCACCTCAGCTTGGTAACGTGATAAAATGGGGAGTTTCTCATTAACAAGCTAAAGCAAATGACCTGCATGAAGTCAATCTATCACAGTTTCAAAAAAAAAAAATAAAAGGATGATGTGTCCACTGAAGCCACGAACCCACCCATGCCCTACCACAGTTGCAAATCAACCCCATATGAATCAATTGCCTTTGACTAGGTTGTTCTCACACTACAGATATCTGATCTGCGTGTTAATATGCAGCTGCCAAGGTTGGAGCTGACCGTGCTCCAGCATCAGGCAAGCAGGTAGGAGCATCCAAATAAGAGGCAGGATCAGTGCTCATCTTCGCTGGGTGCTGCAGAGCCACTCATCTCCCCTTCTTTCAAAGCAGATGTGTTTAGAAAGCGTTTTTGTTCAAAGTCTTGAATACTTACTAAGAGGAGAGAGGTGTGTTCACGTGCAGAGATTGGCATCCCTGGATTCAGCTTTTTTGGTGCAATCCTTCTGTGCTAACATCTTTGGTTTAAAAGCGTATTCTCTGTTTAGCTTGATATAGTGACACAAATCCATTTCTCAATTTGATAAGTGCTCCTAAAACAAATTTTTCCAAAGAAAAGGTTAATGATTAATTAAAATTATTATTGTTTCCATGATCTTAGAGTTTTAAAATATACAAACTAATATAAGTAGGGGAAAAGGAAAAAAACTGAGAGGCATTGCCTTTCTAAGACCAATAAAGGGATAAAATGCCTCCTCCATTCACGCCTGGAACTCAAAACTCTAGCACCATCTAACACTTCTGATTTCAGACCTTCTCATAGGTATTGCTTTTGTACATATTTACAGAGTTGGGGTTGGGGCTTGGGCCGTACTGACTGACAAGGTTTTCAGAAGTTGCTTGATGCCACAGTTGAATTGAAAGGGTCTGCCTTTCAAATGTAAATGCTGATGTGTGGATCAATCTTTGGATTTTTTATTCTTTTTAAATCAGTATTTTCTGACTCTTGACTGAAGTAGTGTGATGCATATTAATATATTTTACTTTTTTCCTCATTTTCTCAGTTATATGAACCGTTTTTACAGTACACGTTAATCATTCACCTGAAGACTGCTTGCACAGAGAAGTGGAAACTTCACTTGGCTAAATGGTTTTGGCTTTTCCTGTGGGAAATACTTCTCAAACTTGTCCGATCCTTCAGTCTCCTCATACCTAATTATGTGGGAGAGCGTGTGCATGCAGCTGTACCCATACGAAGATACCTTTCGCATAATAAATTTTACTCTTTAAAGTTGTGTACTTTTTAAAAATCACATTTCTTCTAAACGGAATTAAAAATAATATCTCTCAAAAGGCGTTTTGTTGTTTGAAACAGGTTTAAAGTCACCTTCGCAATTAGTTTTAAAATTAAAATGGACCCACGTTTGGGGGTTCAGCTGAGTGAAAGTTATAGTAATTTATTTTCTGACTTATCTTCTTAATAGAAAGATAATAGTAAAGTGCAGCAGCATGTCAAAACCAAGAAAAATACCAGTATCATTTCAACACAAAATTTTGTATGTAGTAAGGATATTCATAAGAGAGATAAAAATCTCTCAATGTAGCACCAATTGGCATTGTAATTCACTGTACATATATTCTTACATGATCTACTGTGCTTCAGCCACTACAGAAAAAGTCATTTCCCTCTAATTTTTGCTTAGACCCATCTATTTTTGCTGGTTTTGCGTGGTTTCCCAGTGCCGCTGGTAACTTGCTCTATCGATACAGGCAGTGGTGCTGAAGTAAGGTGCTTCTGCTCTCTGTGGAAGGGGCTGGAAGGGCGAGAAGGGAGGTGAAACTTTGCTACTTGCACAGTAACTTGCTAAGAATGAATGATGCTGTGAACAGAAATGCAGGAAAAACTCCAGGGCAGTTCAGTGGGTTTCTGTTGTTGCCTCCATCAGTGACTTACTGAAGGACCTTTGGTAAATCACTTGATTTTTGCTCCTCTGATGAGCAAGTGCAACAGGATGATGTTGATAGGGCTGGACTGGACAAAAATGTCCTCAATTTTATTCCTAGGTTTGCCCCCCACTTCTTGAGGCAATCTTGGAAATTCTGCTTTGCTTTTCTTGAAATTCTGCTTTGCTTGTCTTGAAATTCTGAATTTTGGTTTTCTTGAAGTTCTTCATTTCTTCTTTCCATTCCTTCTGTTTAGATTGTTAAATAATTTGGATTAGGGTGGTGGTTTGCCATGGATTTGTTAAAGCCTTGGCTCCGTTGGCCAGAAAGCATGCCAGGATGCTGAAGTGAACCCAGCTGTCAGAAAACCTAAATTTTCATTCTGTTCTAAAGACAAAAATCGTGAAACTGTTGAAGTGTGATATTTATTTAATTTTGGAATTATTAAGATATTCTGTTTCCATAACAAATAAGCTTCCTGTGATCTCTGGCAAGCACTGATGGAAAATAGCCTCATTTTGGGTGTTGGTGGGTTTGTGTGTGTGTATCACATCATTTTTATTTGTGTATCACATCCAGTTTAATCACCAGCCAAGATGGCATCCAGGGTCTGCAGCCCAGGAGTATCTCTAGTTTTAAAAATACTGTGAAGCTCTGGGTTTTATCTGCGATTTTGCGCTTCGAAAATAATCTAAACTAACCAACCACTAGAATATATGAATAGAAAGTTAGCATAAACTAATAGATGTTATTTTAAAAACACCAGCTTGTGAAATTGGCTGTGCCTGTAGTTTTACATCTCTAGAAAACCATTCCTGTCTCTTGGCTCACACCACATTCCTGCAGGCAAGGAAATGAAGAACTGGACTCGTTTCCGCGTGGAGCAGCTTTCGGAGCCACCCGAGTAATTTGCAGATCAGGAAATAACACATTTGAATCATGGCAAGGAGAGAAATGTAATCTTGAAAGAATTCTGACTTGTGCGTGTTTATTTCCTCAGATAATTAAGCTGAAAGCAGAAGCCCGTCTTGATCTGCTGAAGCAGATCGGTGTGTCTGTGGATACGTGGCTAAAAAGCGCAATGAACCAAGTGATGGAAGAACTGGAAAACGAACGCTGGGCCAGCCTGCCTTCAGTGACCAACAATGGCTCTTCACACCTGGTACGGTTTCCAACGTGTAAAACTCGCTTTGTCTCCACGTGGCTCTTTCCTAGTAGCAACTCCTAATTTAATACTGAATATAAAACAGAATTGATAATATTTGGTTGTTTGTTAGCTAGCTGGCAAAATCTTGTAGCTTTATGTGGCTGAAGTATGTGTCTGAATTTCATGGAAAAAAAAAGGGATTTCTGGGTTCTGTTGCTGAGCTTACTTTAGATTGATTTTTCTGACCTTGGATAAGTGCCATAACATTTATTTGCCATGTCCTGAAAAGAAAAATGTCTGCGTGTTTCTTTAAAGTTTCATTAATGGTTTACGATGTTATCTGAGATACTTGGATGAAAGGCTGTATTTTTCCAAATGTTTAGAAAAATGTAGACTCTACATCATCTCTTCAAGAGTCGTTTATGTGCAGATCGCAGTGAAAGTGGTGTGGTTTAACATCAAGAAAGCATCATCGAGAAAGCAAAGCCTGTTTTCCAAATTGGTTGGATATTTGAGATTAAAATTTGATTCATTAGAAATCAGGGAAAGGCTTAAAGGCTTTGGAAAACGGGTGTCCATTCCTGTGAGCAGGGTTAGCTATTTCCCTCAAAGATTTGGCATAGGTTTAGATGTTACCGCTATTCACCTGCAAGTTACTGCCCTGTTATTTGAGATACACTAAATATTTGACTTTTTCTTTATGAATAACTAGTTTCATTAAAGCAGTACTGAAGTTAAATTGGAACAGACTGCAAACCTGATCACTACTGCATTTCATCCTAAGAGTTGGTAATTTCTTAAGCTGTTGAATTCAATTGCATGAATATGTCTTGCTGTGTCCAAAGTCACGCTAACTCTTTTGAAAATTCATCCAGTATACCCAAAATTGAACTAAAAAGCAACTTCGATCAGTGGAAGATTGGTAACGATTTTTTACTCAGTAGTACGTAAAACTAATTGTGTTTGCAATGTTTATAGCTGGTTTGCAAAATAGGCCAGAGTCATCTCCCATCTGTTTAGCTTGGAAGAAAGCACATTTTTACGCAATTCAAGAAAGAATAAAAAGCAAACTCTCATTTCTCTCCCCTCTCTCCCCCGTGAAGAGTGATATGTTTAAAAAAACAATAGCGATAGCTGAATCAAACAGCTGCCTGAACCAAGAAACCCTGTTCAGAAAACGGGAACTGCTAAAAGAGCTCATATTCTCTTTTTTTTAATCCCCCTACATGGCATGCGATGCTGAGCTGTCACCTTTGGCAGCAAAACTAACCAATCTGTTGCTCTTCACCAGTAACCAACTAAAATAAAATTCCTGAAGGTTTAGTCAGTTTGCCTCAAACAAATTTTGAATTTTCTGTGTGTGTTTATATATTTAATACTTAACAAAATTCAGAGGCTTTTATAAAGTCTTGGTTTGCATGTGGATACTTTCCTAACTAGTCTTCATACACTATTAAAATTACTTAGTTCACACATTCTTTTTAATCTTAAATGCTTTGGACAGTCAAAACATGTCTTCTGTATAAGAAAACTTTCAGGGGGAATGGGAATGTGATTTTTCATTGCGTTGCAAATGATTTGGAGAATGGCTTGCTTTCGCTGACCACCTAAGAGAAACAAAATCTCCGTTTCAGCAAGTATGTGGTATCTACACACAAAAAATCCTGCTCGTTTCCATGTTTCTTCACATTTTTCTGCTTCTTTATTGTTTTCTTGGTAATGGTGGCAAACCCTTAGAAGGAGGGGGTTTTCTTGGATGTACAAGCTATTTTCGTCTATGTCAACTTTAGCTCAAAAAAGTGAGCAAGCACTGAATGGAGTCTCAGCAAATCCTGAGACTCCTGAATCCACTCTGCTTTCTTCAGGGTGTTAGGATGTTTCTTCTAGGACGTTACACACAGAGCTCAAACACACTCACAGTGATTTGCAGTGCTTTATTCCCATGGTTAGTAGTATAATTAGAGATTAAAGTTGGAGTATGCTTCAGCAAGCTTCAGCCTTCCCAAATCCCAAAGGAATTCTTGTGCCGTTTCATTTCAGATCCTTTCTAGCCAGGATAGATGAGGATATGTTACATAGCTGTGTTTAACAGTGGTTTTTTTTCCTTTCTTCTTGTACTCCACCTCCTTTAACTTCCCGTTGTGCATGTTGGATTCCGCCCAACACCTTGTTCTCTGTCTCATCAGACATGCCAACAGTTGGCCCTGGAGCCAAACCCCGTGCTAGTCCCTGGCGAGCCAGCAGATGCCACAGCGTGGGAGGTTAAACTCTGATTCTTATTTTCCCCTTTTACACTTACGTACGCTCCCGAATAAAAAAAGATGCTGTTGACCTTGGCAGGCCAGATGAGGACAGCCTGTAGATGGAATTCTTAGAACTGTTACCGAAATTACGTTGCTTGCAATTATTAGAAGAATTACTGCAGCACATAACAAGCAGCGCTTTCACTTCATCCTTGAAGAGCGGGCAGTATTTAATGTTCAGAAACCAGCTATCTGCCATCCTTACCTCACGCACAACTTTGCTTTGTGTTGGTATTTGCAATTTTTTCAGCAAAGCTCTCGATATATTTTCTTTCAAAGAGCTAAAAAGAAGGCGGCAGCATCAATGGCTTGATATCACTGTATTTATTTAACCTACTACAGTAATGTAACAAGCTGAAGGAGTTAGTATCCCATCACCTATCCAGTTGGCTCACTTTCTGATATAATGATGAAATGCGTAATCTTGGGAGGGAATACTTTTTTCTCCCAGTGTACATGACCAAAAAAGTTAATTGTCATTTTGAATTTTAATTGTAATCTGGAAAATGTATGCAATGTTACTCTTACATATTAACGTCGTTGGGAAACCTTTACACTGCGTACAACAAATGTATTGTAAATATTATGTAATTTATTCAAAAAAGGAGGAGAGAATAATGTCTTTATAGGGTTTGTGTTTTGTTTTCTGTTTGCTGGGACTTGAAACGGTACAATTAGAAGAAACATTTGTACAGTAGAAGTACAGTATTGCAGAGTTAGAAATAAAGATTGCAGTTGGTACGTTTACAGTGAACGTGAAAATGGATGCTTTTATAACTGTAAAGGGATATAGCATCTTTTAACTGTAAAAGGTTAGAGCATCTTTCAACTCTCAGGTTACTGGTTCGTATTCAAGCCTGATTGTCATCTGATACCAGCAACCTGTGCAAAGCAAATTGTGGTTTCTGTGCCTAAATACACGTATTGCAAACTGGCTCTGACTGATCGATACCTTCGGGTGCTCCGGCAGGCCACTCTGTTAGTGGATTGGTGGGAAATTTCAGCCTTTTTTAGCTGCTACAGGTCATACATCCAAATTAGATTGGAGGTGGTTCGGTATAAACATGTTCTCTGCTGTTGCCAGGGTCTCTGCATTTCCGAGGATGGATAAAAAAGGGCTTTTGGTATATCTTTCTGGTATCGAATCTTTTTTTGGGCAGGATGTGCAACAAAACAAGATAGATATTTGCATACCTTTTTTCATATGTATAATCAAGCTATCTTGTCACCTTCTTACCTGCATTTATTCTTATGTTTGCTCTCTATATTTGTGGTTGATGTATTTATTCTTTGCTTATGCTGTCTTTCATTACCAGACTCTGTAGAAAAATGAGCTTTATGAAACAAACTGCTAAGTTTTCTGTATCATTGGTGCTGTTTTCCCTCTGTATGCCTACTTGGCAAATGATTCTATTCAAGGAGTTTGAGCAGCCCACACACTGAAAATTAAAATGTATTTTTCCTCCTTGTGTTAGAAAACCAGGACCAGATGTTTTACGAACAAGTCTTTCTAGACATGATACACTAATTTCCATGATGTTTCATACGGCTGTCAGCTGAATGTCAGCTTTGGCTGCTGGGACATAGACCATGCACAGCAAAAGGCAGTTAAGAACTAGAGGGGAAAACCTTTAATTTGCCATAATTTATAGTTGGCTGTTAATATATCAAAGCATTAGCTAGGTAGGATAGTGATTTTTTTTTTGTTACCGCGACATCCGTGAACTTAAAAGTAGCAATGGACGCAAACTGCACTTGAATGAAAATGAGTGGGAAAAAATAATATTAATTACAAGGACGTAGTCTAGAAATCATAACATAAAAATTAATCTAAGTCAGAAAATGATGAAGCTTTGTGCTCTTCTACTCCAGGTCTAGAAGAGCAAAGATGCTACAGAGCAGAGGTACGGACACAGCTGGTTTAGGGAGCCTGCACAGTGCCTTTTCGGTCTCAGCCTAACTCTTTGTTGATTAATCAGCCTTTTAGTTTTCATGAGGAATAAGGAATAAATAAAGGAAGGATAGCAAATACATAACAGTGTTGCCTTTGATTCAAAGGACTTGCCTATTTTCACATGAGACAAAGTGTTTATTCAAAATTTAATCCAGGCAGAAGGCCAAAGCACAGCTCATGTCAACGTTGCCCAAACTACATTTATAGAAACTTGTATTTTTCCAGTGTATTGACTTCAGTTTTTATTTAAACTTTCATAGCTAGTTTTTAATCATCATTCTTTCTCCAAGGAATTTTTTTTATAAACTGCAGCATATCTATTGTGCAGAATACACCAGCTGGAAGGCTGATTTTTTTTTATTTTTATTTTTTCAAGTTTAAGTATTTCCACTGCAGTTTCATTTTATAACTTGTAGTCGCAGGTGCATTAATCTTTTAATAGCATAAATTCTCAGTAAGTGACTCTTTTTCCCATTAAACTACTTGCTGTTGCTCTGAAATGGCATCTCCAAAGTACATTAGTCACTGTTTCACAGCTTATGTAAAAAATAGATCAACTGTCCAGCAGTTGAGTTGGAGCTTTCAAAATCTTCTGTGTTGTTTTTAAAGTCCACGGGCCTGTGCTTGAATGAAGAAATACAGCTGAGTTAAGCAAAGATGTAATTTGGTGACAGCTCTTATTCTTTCACTTCCCTGTATTTGCTTGTTTGATGACTGCTTATTTGAGAATCGTATGTTGAATATTATTTAGTCGTCCTTTTTTTGTCCAGTTTCAATAATTGTAAGTAGTAAAAAAAACCACACTGAAGAATATTGATCAATTCATTTTTATTGTTATGTCTTCACTTATTTTTCTTTGATGGTATAATGCTAAATTTAATTTGTTTTAATAGATTAATGCTGATGCAGAAAAGGAAGAAGGTGAAGAGTTTGAAGACAGTATGGATGTTTTTGATGACAGTAGTTCTAGTCCTTCTGGTACTCTAAGAAATTATCCTCTCACCTGCAAAGTTGTTTATTCATATAAGGTTTGTGATTTTTTTTTTTTTTAATTTGATTACAAAAATGAATTAAGCAACAAAAAAATAATAGATGTAAATGTTTTGTGGGAGTTTGAGGTAAAATGTGAGCATTTGGCTCAATAATGGTGCGCATTAAATATATCTAGTTGTGAAATTCATGATGTTGTGAAACACATTTATGCTACAGTTCAGCAGAGTACTGAAGTCCATGCATGAATTGAAGTACGTAGAGCTGTCCGTGTGTGGCTTCAAGGAGACCAGTTGCCATTAGAAGAGGTTTTAATTTCTGTTGCTGAGCCGGTGTGGCTATATTGGGAATGCCTTCTCAGTGTTAGGCATGTTTGTATGCTGTACAACAAAGCTCTTCTTTGTACTGTAATAGTGAAACCACCATTCATGAGTTAAAGCTTTGCTGACAAACTGCATTCATGCTATTTACTTCTGCTAGCACTGCTAGGTCAGTTGTAAATCACACCGCTGCGGTAGCCGAAGCCAGTGGCAGACTTAGTTTTAGAGTACGAACTAATTAGGGTTTCAAAAGTAAATAGGGTTCAACGCACTGGGTGGTATTCAGGGTGCTTCCATCTATCCTCTTGAGTGAAAAAGGGTCTTGTGAATGTCAGTAGGTATACAGAAGAACCCTTATTAATATGTTTTAAAGTATGCTACATCGTAAAATTTTCAATATTTAAAAAAACATAAGTTTTAATAAAAGTCTGGATGAGAATGTTCTTTACACTGCCTGTCCCGTGCACCTGAAAACACTTTTATTTTCTAATCTTCCTGTTACATACTTCAGGCTTCTCAGCCAGATGAATTGACCATAGAGGAACATGAGGTGTTGGAAGTTATTGAAGACGGAGATATGGAAGACTGGGTAAAGGTATCATTTTTCTGAGACTGTTTTCTTTTCACTATTATTTTTAGAAATAGAACTTGGGACAGAAGAAAGTATCTGGATTATTTTCAGAGTAGTATGCAAAAGCAGAGCATTTTTTCTGTCGTTTACTTACAGGCACGGAACAAAGCGGGTCAAGTGGGTTATGTGCCAGAGAAGTACCTGCAGTTCCCGACATCCAGCAGTCTGCTGAGTATGCTACAGTCCCTTGCGGCACTGGATAGTCGATCACACACCTCAAATAACTCCACTGAGGCTGACTTAGTCTCAGGCAGCCTGAATGGAGACTCCAGTGGTAAATACCAGTACATAAATAAATAGTATATTAAGCTTGTTCTCGAAAGCATTCTGCATATCGGGTTCGGATGTTACACATGAGAATTTCTCATATTTGACCTGTATCTGAGTACAACTGTTCTCAGTAATTATCGATCTCTTACCAAATCTGCGCAATTTACATGGCTATCTGATAGAGTTGAGATTAACTAAAATTAAGGAAAACTAAAATAATTTGACTCAGCAATTAGAGAGTCAAATAGAATCATATTAGGTTGGAAAAGACCTTTAAGGTCATGGGTCCAACCATAAAAGTATGTATAGTACTTACTATTTTTTTAAGCTCATGCCAATTACACTTTTTCCCCCCCCTCTTCCATTCTTCAGTCTGTTTTGTAAAAGCACTTTATGATTACGAGGGCCAGACAGATGATGAGCTGTCCTTCCCGGAAGGAGCGATCATCCGCATCTTGAACAAGGAAAATCAAGATGATGATGGCTTTTGGGAAGGAGAATTCAACGGACGCGTTGGGGTGTTCCCATCAGTATTAGTTGAAGAGCTTACGGCCTCAGAAAATGGAGAGACTCAGTGGATTGGAGATATTCAGGTATGTAAAGAGTTGCGGTGCTACCGTGCACGTATGATATTAGTTTGTTAGGGCGATTTTGCAAGGCAGCAAAGATCTGCTTCTTTAGGAAGAACCAATCTAAGAAGAAAAAAAAAACTTTTAGTTTCTTACCGAGCCTAATAATTATCAACTGATATATTTTGGCAAATGTAACAGATGTGTGAATAAAGGAAAGTACTTGGGCAGAAAGGAAATGAACCAAAGGAGAAAATTCACAGTCCTGTAATTAATTTATGGCATAGGCTGAGATATCAAACAGAACCTGGCAAAAAGAGAATTACAGGCTCTCTCAGCCCTAATTTAATGTTTTCATACTTAAATCTGTTCTGTATCCTCTCAATTTTTGAAGGGCAGAATACTGCCAAATATTGTATTACAGTAATTTTTGTAAAAATATCCTCATTTTACTATAGTTCTCTAATCCTTATATCATATTAGAAAATCAGACACATTCTCATGTGTAATTGTGGTGTTAGAAACTGGACTTCCATGTTCCCTACAAAGTAATTTCTCCGGTATTTTTGTTCTTTGATTTGAGAAGACCATGAAAACTTAACATTTAAATGACACATACGCAATTGAGTTGGGATAAAACTCGTGATCTTAACGCTTTTGTGTGAATATATGTGGAGAGGCACACTTGGCCAAACAACTTTTTCAAAAAACCCTCAAAAAGTCTGTCTAAATTATCTGCGAAAGGATGAACATTTCTGCTCAGTGGCAACCTATGATTTAAAAAAAATATATAATCACTGTTTGATATCTTGGCTTTCCTTCCCAAACGTACCTGAGAGCACTTCTGACAGATAGTTTTTCACCAAATGAAAGTTCCTAGCATACTGATGTGTCAGAGAACTTACTGCACCTCGATGTGTACATAAAAACTGTCGAGGAGTAAGGTTTTCTGCAGCCCCTCTCTCTTTTTAACATAGGTATCCCCAACTCCGAAGCCTAATAACGCCCTTCCACCGCTGCCACTGTATGACCAGCCTCCCACTAGTCCCTACCACAGTCCAGATAAAAGAGGTTCTCAGTACTTCCCCAGATCACCGTCAACTAACGGTAAGGAATTTTGTGATAGTAAAAGAAACATTTCACCTAAATGTTTAATTTGGAATGTTCACATTTCGGGGGGGGAGAGGGGGGAAGCTTTTTTTGCAACATAAAGTTAATTCAGCAATACCGAGTGGCTTGTTTGTGATGGGTTGTTGCTTACTCTTTCAGAAAACAGCTTCAGTTCAGAGTCCCCTGGATTCTCACAGCCTCCGCGAATTCCTCCCGAAACTTCATACGGCAAACTGCGACCTGTAAGTTAAAAACAAATACTGTTGTTTTATTGATGCTACAAAGTTGTAAGGCCAAGTCTAGGTAAATCGGGATAGACACATTCAAAGCAGGGTGGTGATACAGCACCTGGTAATTTGGCTCTCTGTGTTCTGCAAATCCAATTACTATGTATAAAAATGCGGTATCTCAGGTGAATACTGCGAGAAAAGGTCTGTTCGCTCCCCTTTGATAATACCATAGATGTGTCAAAAAGCTATAGAACATGAGAGCTATTTGAGTGAACACTAGAACAAAACAAAGCTGCACTTGTTTAAACAGTAAGTCACTGTGTTTAAAGATGACCTTTAATCTTACCCGTCCCCTGTCCTTCATCTAACCTGTCCTTCTGTACCTGCCTTCATAGATGTCATACCTGCATGTCTCTGTGTGAGGCATATGAATCATGAAATCTAACCTGGGAGGAAATTACATCTATAATGATAATAATATAGGTGTTAGTCGAGAAACTTATACTGCCTTTTCAGGCATTGGGAGGTTATTTCTGTTCTTGCTACAAGTAATAACCCCTAAACAGGACTAAAAAAGAGGTGGCAAATAAATGCCAGAACAGTTTAATCGTATGATTTGTACAATTGCTTCTTCTCCAGAGGTTGTGTTGCCAGCCATGCAATGTGCCAGCAGACAAATCTGCTTGCCAGACGTCCTATATGGTCCTTGGGACTCCATTGCATTTAGGGTTAAATTTATTTCTGAACTCCTTGATTTGAGGGTTTTGGATTAAAAATTCTTAACAATAACGTCTAAATATTTTGTGATGTCTTTGCTGCCTAGAAAGAGAGATTTTGCCAGGAAAGGAAAGAAAGAATTTAATCACTTAGAACTTGCAAAGTCCATCTCCTAGGATTAACTTTGAAATCAAGTTTTGGGGGTTTCAAAGTCCTAAACCAAATCACATTAAGATGTAACATTTGTATTTTTCTGGCATTCTCAATGAATGAGGTTGCAGAAAAAGAGCATTTTTGGATATTCAGAAATTATATTCTGAATATTGCAGTAGTCAGTGAGTTAGCCTTACTCATTGACATACGCAAGGCAGAGATAGTACTGCATCGCTAAGTATTTAAGTATTGAACAGAGAAGTTTCACGTTATCTTATTCCCTTGTAAAAAGACAGTGATTCAGCTTTTCCATTTTGTAGATTTATATTTACTTAATGAGTTTCTTGCAATTGACTGTCTTTTCAAGATATTACGACAGCATCATGCCTTAATTAAAAGGATTTCTCTTAGTATCACATTTAATATATGCCTGGTTTGAAAATATTGTGAAGTTTGTTCTGGTGTTGCTCCACAATTTATGTTTTCCATAGCAAGTCACTCTGGTGTATTCTGAAATCATGTGATAAAAACCCTGCATAAAATACTGTTAGTGCTTAAGGTAATCTCTGTCAGGAGCAATAACAACTCTATTGATGTGGCAGGGTGTAAAAATAGCATCAGATTTCAGGTGTTCAGATATTGTTCAGGTCAGTGATTGATTAAATATGGGTAAGCTGCTTAGATGCAACAAGGCATTCTTGTAGTTTCCAGTCCATGTACGTTTCAGGCAAGGGCGTCATCAGATTTCAGCATTTAATGTAAAGTCCAAAGTCGGTCCCAGGTTTATGTACCGGATTATCTGTGGGTACAGGCGAAATAGATAGGTTATTTTCCTCGTTTCATTTACACTGTCATGATTGCCAGTCATCCTGGAGAAAAATCACCTGAGAGTGGTGACAGGTTACGAAGAGCCTTGATGGTTTAACTGGAGACTGATGGACCTGAATTCAGCTGGTTACTCACTGTAGTTCTGTTGATCTTAATATACGATCTGTATATTTGCATCATCTTCAGGTATAAGCCCAAAGTTGCAGTTTTAATCTATACAAGTTCTGAAATTTTGACAGTTTTCTGATAGTTACAGGCTGGTTCTGGCTGTTTCAGGTGCGAGCAGCTCCACCACCCCCTACACAGCATCACCGCCGGACAACAGAGAAGATAGAGGACGTGGAAATTACTCTGGTGTAATGATTGGACTAGTTAAGTAGTAGTGCTACAATCAAGACCAAACGTGGTATTTGGTCAATCTTGTTTTTAGGCACCTTTGCATGATGAAGACTTAATAGAGCAAGAGATAGGGAGGATTCTATGTGGCAGTGACGTGGTGGATTCCTTCCCACAGTCATGAATATTTTGTGCCTTTTTTTTGTTTTGATTTCTATACATCATTCTTCCTCTCTTAGCACAAACCAAGACGGGCCAAACAGCGAGCAGAGGATTGCCTTGGAGCAGGTTTCTCTCTTGGCTGAAGATGGTCAATTTTTATACGGAGGCTGAGGAAAGAGCCTCATTCATGCAACTTAGTCATAGCGTACTTCCATCACGTGCATTAGTACAGTATATTACTGTTGCCATAGGAATGTGTTAAAGATTGTCAATTCTTCAAGTAGCATTACTTGTCTGATTAGCTATTAATCAGATCTTGCGGAATGAAAAAGGGAACTGAAAAATAAGTATAAGGAGAGGCTGGCTCCTCTTTAATCCCCTTGCAGAAAGGAAGAAACAGGAAAATAATCTTATAGATAAGGAAAACTGATGCAGATCATATGGCGTTAATTACATTAATGCACACCTCTTCAATAATTAACAGTTAAACAGAACTAAATGTTCTTTGTATTAATATTTATGCAGTACATTTAGTAATAGAGTATCTAATATGGAGGTGCTGAATTAGTAGCAACATCTTGTTCCATAGCATAAACCAACTGGTAGAAGAGTAAGTGAGATTTTGTCTAGATCTGGAAATTGAGCTTCATTTTTTTCTTAGCAGATTTTGGGGGTTTTGGTTTTTTTTTTAAAGTATTTGGGTCACTCTTATCCCAGTTATTGCCGTGTACTTTATTATCCAACGTTAGCAGTATATCTTTGTCATCAGAACATCTGGCTAGAGTTAGAAGTTACATTTAGAGTATTTACGTGCATTATTTAGTTTTTGCATTGGATGGTCCTGTAGCATTTTCCCATGCGAAGCCCGTTAACTAGCCAAAGCCAGAGAGCCAGGAAAAGCTCTGGTTTCTGCGAAGCCTTCAGACCACCTTTGTGGCCAAGACTATGGTCTCAAATTACTCTTAGGCAATAAATAGAGAGTAAAAGAATTTCAAAACTCATTTTCAATCGGAGATCTCTGGAAAGGAAGCTTTTTTGTTGTTATTGCTTGAAAGAAAAGGGCAGAGGATATTCTGAGGTTTAACATGGAGATAAATGGTCAGAGGAAAGGGAAAAACTGGATGAAAACAGGTTTTTCTTTGTATACTTACCAAATTATTTTCAGCAATCTCCATCAGATCAAAGCTTCAGTTAAAAGGCATCACAAGGTGGTTTTTTTTGAGCTGTTATATGGGTTCTATTGAATGCGCTCTTATGTCTTCATTTTTTTTTCTAAGCCAGTAAGTTTTCTACCTTTAGTTTACTAACAAGGGCTATTTTTTGAGGCTGCATTTACAAAAAAAAATCATCTAACAAGATTTTATCATAAACTTTGCACATACTTGTAAATCCCAACCCAGGCTGGGTCTCTGAGACATTCGTGTTTGCCAATCTCCTTTCCCAGGGGGATCTTTAACCAAGAGTGGGGCTGTTTGAAGAAAACAATTCATGGATCAGTTATGAAATCGGTGACTGTCCAATGAAGTCTTTTCCATATTTTCCATTCTTTTGCACCTCTTGTCCTGTTGATCTGTTTGAGGTCTTTTTATGTGTTTATCAAACTTATTCTTAAGTTTAAAAAAAAAGTTTTTAAAAAAGATTTAACTGTTTGCAAAAATTTTGAAAGCTTCACAATGCAGAAGAAAAGCAAGTATTGCCATAATGTTCATGTTCAATTTCTTTGGCCAGTTTTTCTGTGTCCTTCATACCTGGACTTTCAAAATTCAGAAAGTGTTATTTAAAGTCTCTTTAGTTGTATTTTAAAATATTTTCTGTAAGAGCTGCTAATTTTATTTAAAAAAAAAAAAGAAGAAAAGTTGTAAAAATATGCCTCCTTTTTAACTATGATTTCTTCATACAGGGCATGTATTCGACGTATCATCGTGTACAGCGTCAGTACACTGAAAGCATAGGTGCAAATGCTTTCTTTATATTGGCTGTAAAAAGTTTGTATTTATTATGTATAAAAAGTTGAATAATAAAAAAGTGGAACTAAATCCATGACGTTGCCTTGATACAGACACCGCTCTGCCTGTGACAAAATGTTGTAAGAAGACTTGGGTGTAGATCTCTGAGTGAGGGACAACCTGACATTTGGGGATAAAAATGTAAATTTTCTTGGGTATCATTTTTATGGTTTATGCTTTTACACAGAAATTTGAATCTCCTGCCCAGGAAAACACTTATGCACATACTTAAAGCGATCTTTAAATACCGCTTTAAGGTGGTGTTTATATGAGGAGCAAAATTATGCCAAAAAAGGAGAGCCAGTAACAAAGCTCCAGTTATCAAAATAATTGCTTAACAGCCTTTATGCAATTAGGATAATTGCATAAAGAAAGAGAGGGAGAGAGTGATTGATAATAACTCTTCAGTGTGATTGTCCTTTAATAGGGTTGATTTGCCTAATTGTGTGAGGAGTATTTCCACTGCATCCCAAACCTCTCTAGCTTTGGGATCCCTTTTTGCTCTGGGTTTCCGTGTTATTTTCTTACCGGCACTCGGAAACCACCCTCCGGTGACCGGCTCCTTGCTTGGCTGGTTTCAGTTTCTCAAAGGTGAGTGCTTTTTGCGTTGGGTGCTAAGTGATACGTCAGGTCTGCGTGCTGCTTTCCTCCCGATTTTTGCTTTCAGCTGCTTGGAGTCGGGACTGTATTTTACCCTGCTTGAACACAGCTCACCGCAGTAGGACACCAGCACGATCGGCTGCTGGGCACTGCTGCGGTGTTGGGTTAGATCTTTAATCTTTCATTTCCACTGTTCACACAGAACTGTTACACAGGCTTTCATCATTTTTTCCCTGAGCTCCTGCAGCCTCTTCCTTTGAGAAATCCCATCTTCCCCTGCTTTTTATGTACATTCACGGCGCTCCTCCAAAAATTATTGTCATGGCTTGCTGCTTTGACCACTTTTTCCTTTTCTTTTAGCTTCTTGCTCGTTGCATCTCTCCTTTTCTTGCTGCATCACATACAGACCTTTTTGCTTGTGATTCTTTTCACCATCAGTATTGCTTATAGATTATGTTAATCCTCAAATCCACTGATGATGCCACTTTTCATTTCTTCCATTTTTTAATAGGCTGCCTTCATGCCTCAACTTTTTCTCCTTTCCCCTTCCTTAAAAGCTGTGCCGTGACAAAACAAACCCAGCAGATAATGCCCCTTCAGCAGGTGTGCTGTGATTGCATCATTCTTGCCATTAACATGAGCATAACTTATTTCCATGAAAATCTCTTCACCCTGAAGTGCTTTCCCAACTGAGTGGCAAGCCCCCGTTGCTGCTGTTTGCCTGCAAGCGGGAGATGCCTGCAGTTTTAACAGCACGCAGCGGCCATTAAGAGGCAAAAAAAGGGTGCTGAGTGAAAGTAAGGGCTCTGTGGTTATATATTCTGCTTGGGATATTTAGAAGAGCAGTACGTGGAACTTGCCCAGCACAAAGGTTGAAACATTGGTCTCTGGAAGTCGGCAGCAGGACCATCGCTGTCTCCGTGAGAGCCGGGGTTTCCTCTGATGGCTCTGGTTCCCAGGTTTTCAAAAAGGAGAATGAGACTGAGACTCGACAGAAGTGATGGGGGTAAATGATGTAATGTACCTTACTACAAATAAATTGTGCCGGGGGTTCTTTTTGTTTGTTTCATGGAAATATTAAAAGAAACACAGGCACGTGGGTGAGTTCTCTTTCCCATATAGCATAAGTATCTCTCACTGTTAATAGTAATTAGAAAGGAGAACAAAACCCCAAATTTCTCCAAATAAAAGGATATTTTGCTTCTCCACGTGTAACGTGGAGGACTGGCTACTCCGCAACTTGCACTTTTGTCCTGCTTGCTCTTCCAGCAAGGTCCCTGTAACTAATAACCCACAGATCTCAGCACGGCAAAAGCAGGAGGAGCAGGAAATCTGCCGTAATCAGCCTTTCCTTGTATTGAGCCTCCCAGGAAGCTCGGGAGGGGAGATGCTGCTGCCCATGCTGTCTCCCCATGTTTTCTCCGTTCGCAGATCTGCTGCCCTACGTAAAAATGATGGGAGGGATGGGAGGAAGTATGCTGTCCCCTTCTATCCTACATCTGGCCGGCTCTCTTCAAGAGGTGAGCTCGGGGATACTGAGACCTCCGTTCAAGGCAAGGGGGAGGTTGGAGAAAGTGAGGGATAAAAGGAAAGAAAACTTAACTGAAGTCAGGGATGCAGCAAATGAGCCAATAAAAAAACGCAGCTAGGAAAATGCTGACGTGCTTACTATATCAAGCAGTTCCCTACTCCAGGCATTACCCAGGGGGATTGAAGATTACAGATCTGGTAGAAGGATCACTGTAGCAAGTGAGCCTCCGCATTGCAGGTCATTTCATCCAGAAAATAACAGCACTGCAGTGATACCGGGGCTGGACTGGAGAAGGTAAGAAATCTCCGTGGTTAGTCTGTGGAACAGACACCAGACGTGCGGTGCATAACCACCCCTCTGTTCGCAGCAAGGAGAGGAGGATGATAACGGGTTTGCTTAAGTACAAGTGCAGTCGCTCACCATTTCAACACAGCAGCATTTGTGTGCGGAGTCTGGGACAATCGTATTACAGCTGTACGTTCCTAGACAAGCTGAGGAAAACTGGCAGTGGAGGCAGCAGGTCGCCAGGCTGTCGTTTAACATGCTGGAATGTGCTCTGCGTCCCAAGGGAAAACTCAGCCCTCCCCTCCTCTCAGAAATACACCTTGGAATTATTTTTATCTGTAGCAGACCACGATTTAGTTTATATCACATACAGCAAACCCAGCGGGGGATAAAATTGAGATGGGCTGAGTGAAAAAAAGTTTATCCTAGTAAATTATTGAAACTGTTTCTTGTATACAGCCATCACTGAGTTTTCTGTCTGAGTATATGGCGCTGCTTTGTTTTAAAGCTGATGAGATTATTGTCTGGAAAAGGATCACAGAACCACAGGCTGGTTGAGGTTGGAAGGCACCTCTGGAGGTCTGGTCCAACCCCCTGCTCAAGCAGGGCCAGCCAGAGCCACTTGCCCAGGACCCTGTCTAGACAGCTACTGAGTATCTCCAAGGATGGAGATCCACCACCTCCCTGGACAACCTGTGCCAGTACTTAGTCGCCCGCACAGTGAGAAGTGTTTCCTGATGTTCAGAGGGAACCTCCCGTGTTTCAGCTTGAGCCCATGGCCTCTGGTCCTGTCACAGAGCACCGCTGAGAAGAGCCTGGCTCTGTCCGCTTGGCGTCAATATACATTGATGAGATCCCTCCTGAGCCTTCTCTTCTCTGGGGTGAAAACTTCTTTCTCTGTACTTCTCTGTGTGCACTCCCTGCGAAGAGCTTTTAAATCAGTCAGAAACCTTTCAGAAAGGAAGCGCTGTGGACTTCGTGTTGTCTGTGGATCCTAGATTGCTGCTTCAGCGGGTCTGAAGTCTCGGAGGTCCGACACAGAGCAGCTCTGTGTTGAACAGTGCGTTAGGCTTACAGTGTGTTAGGATTACAGGATTGAGGCTTCAGGTTGTATCTCCTTAACGGACCACAAAAACCAATGTTCTGACATAGCCTTGTTTCTGTTCCCAAAAACGCTTTGGAAAAAAAA